CACCATCAAACTGAGGAGATTTTGGCTGCCTATTTAGGCCAGTAGTAAGTCACTGAAGCAGAACAAAAGGGTCTTAACAAATGCCGGTGTCTAGCCCTGCCCTAATGAATCCCACTGCTGAATTTCCCAAATGTGTTGTGGCTTCTATCCATGCAAGGACTGAGCAGAGTGTCTTTGTTTTTTTGTATGGTTAAAAAAAAAAAGGCAAAAAAGAAATAGCAGCAACTTTAGGAGCACATCTAATTTTCATCTAATTTTGGATTAGATTTTAGATTAGATCTTAAGATTTATTTTAACTACCTGCTAATTCAATGGATGAGCAAATGATTCTCTAATTTATTTCATTTCTTGCAGCTCCTGGTCCTGTGTTGGAGACCTTTGTAGGGGATGATATTAATACCATTCTCATTCTAAATCTCTTCAGTGGAACGGAGTACAGTGTTAAAGTATTTGCTTCGTACTCAACAGGCTTCAGTGATGCCCTAACAGGCGTAGCCAAAACCTGTAAGAATGATCTCATGCTGTGCACATCTCTACAGGCTGTTTTTCACTATAACTATGGCTTTGTGCAGGTCCCGGAATAAATTTGCACTTGGAAGACTTTCTCAGTTGCATGCAAGTTGTTTTCCTGAAATGCAAGTCTCTGTTTTTATCAGACTATTAGGCTTTAAAATAATCTGCTGGATGTTAGCAAAACAGGGGTCCTAAAGCAGATGTTATTTGCCTAGTAGTAGATATACATCTCCTTAATGGGATGTCTATTTAGTCTTTTTTTTTTTTTTCTAGCTCCATATATATATATCTGATTTAGTCTTTATATACCTAAAGCTCAACTTTAAATTAGGTTTTGACAGAAATGTTGCTATTATAATGATATTTTTATACTTATCTGTAGTAACTGAATTTTTATCAGTGCTCATTATTTAGTCTTAGCTAAATTGATTTCAATTCTAAACTTTTGGTCTAAAGATTCACTTTTTTGTTTTCCTTCCTGTTTTGTATTTTCTTGACATCTTTTTTTCTTTAAGCAGATTTTGACATTATTTGTTAAAAATTAATCGGCACAAGTGTCTCACTGAAATTCTTTTGTCATTTTTTTTCTATCTTATTAGAGGAGTAAACCTAATTTTTGGTATTTAATTTTCAGTGTACCTGGGTGTGACAAATTTGGATTCCTATCAAGTCCGCATGACTAGCCTCTGTGCTCAGTGGCAGCTTCACAGACACGCTACTGCATACAGGGTAGTTATTGAATCACTTGTGGGTAAGTTACCAAATCATTCAGTATGCAGCTACAGCCTAACCCAGAGAATTGATTTGTATAAATTAAGAAATTCTATACAGTTGGACCTGTAGACTGGCTCCTGAAATACTGGAAATGATGGTCAGAAGAGGGACGTGTATACATTGAAAGTTTCAGGTGTAGAAGTAGCATTCCTGTCCTTTTATATCAAACAGATGTTGATAATTGTCCTTTTTATGGGAGGGAGTTTTATCTGTCAGTAGAAGGCAGGTGATTACCTGAGTTTTTCACTTGTGTGAGGGACAGAAGATGGATAAAGGATGGACTGAATACATCTAAGACTGTAAAGAAACCATCAGTGATAGTTCTGTAGGATTAGGATGGACATGAGAGGGTGGCAGAAGGGAAAGGAAAGCTCTGATTGAATCCAGACCATGCTTGCAGAGTCCGAACAGTGTCCAATTTTGTCTGTTCTCATCCTGCTGATCATTAATTGTAGCGTGTAGTAATGTTACTCATCTGGATAAACGTGAGGTATTTTTATGTGGCAACACATGGTGTCTTGGTGCTTCTAGCACTGACTGTGCAGAAGGTGAGTTACAGCCTTTTCCGTCCCACTGATTCTCAGGTGTAGCCAGAAGAGGTTATGGATAAGTCACGGTTTGTGCAGGCTAACTCTCTTATCCCCACTAGGCATCAGTGATCTTTTGAATGGTGACAAATTAAAAGCTTGGATAACTTGAAAGAAGTGTGGTTAATAACATTTAATGCGATCTATCAAAGGTATAATGAAAAATAATACTAATTTGGCTGCAAAAAAATAATGACCTTTCTGTGGAATGGCAAATGGAGGGTGCTGTGGTTTATTTGAAGGCCTGGGATACAGACAAGCTGTTCAGAAAGCAGAGATCTTGGCTGGCACAAGACAGCACAGATTTCCTTCTCATCTGGGAGCTAGCCAGCATTCTGCTTTCATCACATAGTACTGCCAGAATTGTTTCAACTGAGCCAAAAGAACCTAAATGTGAGCAGAACGAGCTAAAGTGTGAACAATTGCTTCTTATTAACATCATGAAGAGTTTTGATTGTCGATTGGGTGTGTATCTCATTCAAGCTGTGATCAATTATTTTTATACTAAAGTAACGCTTTTTGATAAGCATCGGGTGTTTTTTTCCTTGGCAGTGAATGACTCTTTGGCATTTTTTGTATACACTCTGTAAAATGTGAGATCAGTGGCTTGTATTTTACTTCTTTCTGCTACAGAGTATAAAATGTGCTGAAGGTTTTCTTCTTATTAAAACACGCCTTATGCTGTTTCCAGTACGCAGGCTTTTTCCATTGTCAATGTGTTTTCCAATTCAGAATTTAGCAGAATTAGTTCTGGAACCCTGTAAATACTATTACTTCACCAACTTGTTAAGTGGTTGCTAGTGGAAGCTGGAATACAATATCTAGTTCGGTCTCTCTTACAATTACTAAGCACATTACAGACTATGAGAACCAGAGGCATAGACAAAAGATGCCACACAATTACATAATGCAACAATTCCTCATTAGACTCTGATAATTTAGGACCACGTCCAAAGCCCGTTGATGACAGTGTTCGTGATTTTTATTAACTTCAGTGCATGGGGTGAAATTCATCTTCTCTCCTGCAGATGTCTGACACATTCCTCAGCTCCTACTTAATATGAAGGATGAAATGTTACAGAGACCTCTGCACAGAGGTGAATTTCCAGAAATAAGGCAGTGTGTCATTTATTAATTTATGTCAACCACTTGCCCTTCGTCTGCTGTCATGTCCCCTTCTTGTTTCAGCCTTAATTCACGTTATTCAGTAAAACAGTAAATAAATGTTTTGAGGGGTTTCTTTTATAATTCCAGATGGGAAAAAGCAAGAAGTAAATCTTGGTGGAGGGACGCCTAGACATTGTTTCTTTGAGCTGATGCCTGGAACTGAATATAAAATCAGTGTCTACACACAGCTTCAGGAGATTGAGGGCCCTGCCGTAAGCATCATGGAGACAACATGTGAGTAAAACAGATCAAAGTTCAGCCAGCAGTGATAAGTGGCTGACTGCTCCTCGTGTCTTGCCCTTTGCCCACAGATGTGCTACTCCTATGCAGTTTTCTTTAGCTGAGTTTTAAATTTTTCAGCTACATTGTGACTCCTCCACAGAGGTGCAGGATTCTTACACCACTACTGGGTATTACTGGGTGTGAAGTCACATTCACCAACTGTATTGGACTTGTTAATGAGAATGAAACAGGGAGGGTGGTTTAGCTTTCTTTATAAAAAGTCCCACTAGGGGATACTCTGAAAATCTGTGACTTTGAAAAAAAAAAAAATCCAGAAAAATGAAGCAGAGAAACCAAGAAAGGTTTGTATCCTTCAGCTCTTGTTATTTAGTAAAATTTCACCAGTATCTGAGTAATTTACAGTTAAATGGGACCTTGATACCCGGTCTACTTATGTATTTTAAAATAAAGAAACAAACCGACCTCTATTATTATTCTCAATAACACAAGACAGGCAAAAAAACCCCTCACAGATGTTTATGAAGGCAATATCCTGCTCTCATGAGTTCAAAATACTGCAAAACAAAATACAGGATGAACAGAGTGAATATTTTAACATTGTCTTTCTTTCTTTGAGCCCATTTTTCATCTCAGTGATATCCTTCTTCTCATACTATATTACTATACACCACAATGCTGTTACCCTTCTCTCAGGGTAGACAATGTTTGTAATTTTCCTCTTCAAGCGAATCCTCACACACTTAGGGTTCCACATAGGAAAAACTTGCACAGATGTATACCTCCACTTCTCTGTTGTCCAGGGCTCATTCTCAGAGCAGTGAGGACCAAGCCAAGCTTCTCCTGCTTTTTGGAGGAGTGCATTTTGTGTGCTCTGCAGTTCAGGGAGTTAGAAGACACAAGGAAGAACACACTTTGGCTCACATGTCCATTTGAGAAAGATGGTTTGTGATGCAGAAGAAAACACTCTTCAGGGTGACCTGTACCTCTCTGGTGCTTAGAGAGCAGCCTTTCAAGTCACCTTACTGCAGTTGTGACCCTTTTTTAAACAGGTCTGGTCCTGGTCTGTCTGTGGCCATGGAGGTCCTGAGCATTAGTTTCTTGTAGGTGTTTCAGAATCTTGACCCTTTTTCTTGCTGAAGCCAAGGGGAAAACCCACATCAGTTGCAGTGGGAATAAACTTGGATGTGGACACGAGGCTTGTAATAAATCCTGTTTGCACTAATCTTTCCCAAAGATAAGTTCGTTTTCTGAAGTTGTTGTATCTAACTCTATCCACTGTCTGTAAATGTAACATGTATTACAGCAAATAACAAGCATAGTCTTACTTGAAGGAATGATGTTCTGTCACCTGTGTCTTATGCTATGAAAAAAATTGGAAAAAAAAATGCCCTTAAATTAAAGCGGAAGCTTTTCCTCAGATAGAGTTGTGGAAGCCAACATGACACGTGCATGTTATCTCTGAGAATTCAGCCAAGACTGTATTGAAAGGCACTAAATAGACCTTTTGCATTCAGCAAAGCTGTCAATCAGTGATCATGTATTTGCACAGGTTTCTGGGAGGTTGTCATTCTGAAGGTTATTTTCAGGAGAAGGATGAGACAGTTTTGGGAAACTCTATGTAGTAACATTAGCAGAGTTTGCTGCAGGCAACAAAGCCACAGTCCTGCAGAGTTGTGTTCAGAACTGCATTTCTAGCTGGAAATATAACAAGGTCTTCCACTGAATTCAGGAAAATTTTGATCAGGGCAGGATGTGATCTGCTCTGAGTGCAGGCACTGGCTTGTTTTTGCACTGTCTCTTTGTGTTTTGGATTGCAGGACTAATATCTTCTTCCTTCCAGGTTGGGTAGAGACCTACTTTCTGTGACTAAGGACTGGTTGTGGTCGGAACGGAAAAGAACACTGACCTTTTACAAAATGAGTTATTGATACTAGGTCAAGCATAGGGCTGCCACGTAGTCTGCGCCACTGGGGAAGCCCAAAAAGGGGCAGTTTCACTGGTAGTTCGGCTGTACCATTGTATCATTCACACTGACATGCAGACATTAATTGCTCTGTAACAGTACTATCCTTTTTCAGGTGGGCAGTAGAGGAGGACATTACATGCACACGCTCGTCTACATTTCTCTCCAGTTGCGTCACTAGTTGATTAGAGATCATGAATTTTAAATGTGGAGATGAGTCAAAAATGTTGTGTTTAAGATAGATAAAATATACTGGGCTTTTAAGCATTTTTTAATATTCTTTCCTTTTATTCTCCAGTACCATTTCCAACTCAACCACCAACAACACCTTCTACACCACCCCCACCACCTACAATCCCTCCTGCGAAAGAGGGTAAGTGCTGCATGTGTGGGTTTATAGAAATTTTAAGGTGTTGATGCAATGTTTTTTGGCTTCTGATACTATTTTAGACCTGTGGGGATCAGATTTCAAAATGCATTTCTTACAGTGACACTGTTGAGGCAGCTAGCTTAAATTTAATGAGCCAAAAATCTGACCTCATTACTGTATTGTTGAAATTTGCAGAAAGGAGGGTTAGCATGTGTGAGAATTTCTTTTTCCAGAACTCCTAAACCATATTTATTTTGCAACTGAGGCAGACATACTAAGGTAACTAAACTTCTAAAGCAGCATGATTTTTAAAAATATGTCTACTTTAAGTAATGAGAAGAGTGTTGGCCATGTTCAGCCTCTTCTCTCTTTAAATGTAGACTTGCCTCCATTTACCATTTGAGGATGTAGTGTTTTGTATAGAGTCTCATAAATATTTCTGTGAGGGGAGCATTATTGTTGGAGACCAGGGGTCAAAACTGTAAGCTTGAAGTCATGGACCAAACTGAAGTATATTAACTGAGAAATTAATCCATAAGTACAGAAAAAGAAGACCTTGTGTGTTTTAGAACTGCATAGCAGTGGATGTGGTTTGTTTTGTTTTGTTTTATCCAAGAAGTAACCAACAGAAAATAAGAAATACAGGTATGTATTAGGGTCCTATTCTCTGGATTTAGATGAACATTTTTCTTCAAGATGAAAAATGCTGAAAAACATAACTTTGCTTTGAGACTTTGTTTCTGACCTCAAGCAATAAACTTGGATTCTGTAGAGCGTTGAAGGTTCCCAGTTCCCATGAAAGATTAAGCAACTTATGTGAGCAGGTGTACAGCTCTTTAGGCCATTTTGCATAAGAACATCTTGGAATAAGATGAAATGGGCGAAACCTGTGTTGCTCCTAAATAGTGCAGTTAAAAGGGTGAGCATTAGGCACTGCAGAGCTTACCTTTTGAGCAGACTAGTTTCCCACTAGGAACCTCCACAGTCGAGATTTTCTCATTTTGTTTACTGTGTCATGGTAGGATTCTGGGATTGTAGAAATTCATCTGTGACTTTGCTTAACAGCCTAAATAAAAATAGTTTGCCAGACTTTAAAGAACCATTATGGCCTTGAAGTGTGTTCTGTGATAGGATCTGTCAGTGCAGACCATTCGCCCTTTGCAGAGCTCAGCTGGTTCTACACCTGCACAGAAGTCAATGACAGCAGGTCTGTTTGCTAAAGCATTATTAACTAACATTAAACAAGGGTTTTTCATGACAGTTGCATTTTCTTAAGCAATTTGTGAGATTTCATAAGCAGTTGAGGCATTGCTCTAATTCCAAAATACTTGCTTTTCTTTCTCAGTGTGTAAAGCAGCCAAAGCTGACCTAGCATTCCTGGTGGATGGGTCATGGAGTATTGGAGATGACAATTTCAATAAAATAATTAGCTTTCTCTATAGCACTGTTGGAGCTTTGGATAAGATTGGTCCTGATGGAACGCAGGTAATCAGCATGTAGAGAGACAGAGGGTGCATGGATTTGACAGAGTATTTTAGACTAGCACCAGAAATGAAATGAATCAAAAAAAAACCTGACATTTCACAGTTCTTTTGAAAATATAAACTGCTTTTGGACAGCATTTTTTTCAATATCTTCTTTTGTACACACCATGTGGTGAAATTAATGATATGCATTTTGCTGGCATGAAGGCTAAGTATCATTTCAGTCTCCTCTAAATCATTGTAATGAGATTTAAGCTCTTTTAATATTTTTGGTATTGGTATTCATTGTGGTGTTTATTTCTAAATAAGACAAAAATAGAATTGGTAAGGAGAATTAAAGATTCATTTATTTAAAATCACATGCTCTACAGAATCTACACTACTTGAAATGAAAGATAGTATTTAAAATGATTGTTCTATTTATGTATTTGTTTAGAGAGATACTTGAATCTGGTCCAGAAATAGTTATTGGCAAATATATTTTTGAGTTTTTTTTCAAGTTTTAAGTGTCACCTGTATAATATGCAGTTTGGGATAGCATTGAAAATTATTTTTAACTTGTCAAAATGCTGAAGAATGCTCCAGTTTTTACTGTTTCTTGATAGACAGCTTTTTTCCCAGAATACAGTCCATGGTGTTTTAGAAACTCATGCACAAGCTTAAGCATGTGAATAGCTCCTTTTAAATTAGGGACACCACTTATAAAATATGAAGTTTAATATATGTTTTGTGAGTTGCAGGGATTTAGTGTATAGTATTGAAATACAGGGTCTGGACTCATGTAGCATCATATTTGGGAGAGGTAATATTTCAGAATATGTTCTTGCATCTTTCTGTTACTTGTTTCAGTATTGCTCCCTAATTTAAGTTACTTATGTGCAGCTTGTAATTTGTGAAGACTGAATAATGTCCCAGCAGTTCTGTGTATGTGTAACTGTACATGTGTGAGTGGCTGTAAGAAGGATTTGGCTTTTGGGCTGAATTGAGAGTGCTTTTGCCAAAGTGGGTATTACTTTTCTCATCCTGTTTGATGGAAAATGAAACCAGAAAGTGTTAGGTGGTTACCAAGGCTGCAGAGATTAAAATGAAACTTTATTTAGTGAAAGCTTCTTAAAGAGAAAAAAAAAAATTCTGGCTTCAATTTAAGGATGGAGCAAAGTTACAAGATAAATCCTTGGTTTAAATGTGCTGGGTTCACTTTTTGCTTATACACTGGGTGGTGCTTTAGTAACGAACACATCTTCTGTGTGCACAGGTGGCAATAATTCAGTTTAGTGACGATCCCAGGACAGAATTTAAATTGAATGCATACAAAACAAAAGAGACTCTTCTTGAAGCTATTCAGCGAATAGCCTACAAAGGAGGAAATACAAAAACAGGTGAGAAAGGTCATGATTATGATGCAGATTTTCTCCCTGCTACTCTCTGTCCATTTCTTTCTCATTTGCTAAGTGGTTAATATATCAGTGGAAAAACAGGGAGAACAAGGTATTTCCACACTGGAGGTGAAAGTTTGTGCTTTGAAGTTGGAAAGTCTTTATCATCTGCAGTTTATACCCTTCATCCTCTACTGCTGGGTATTCACCTCTCTGATCAACAGTGATGTCAAGGATCAGGGAGGAAGGGCGAGAGGCAGAAGTGAATGATGTTGGGGATTGTGGAAGGTGGAATGCAGAGTAGTATAAAATCAGTTTGGCAAGTGGAAAACTGGGAGGGGAGAGAAGGTGGGAGGGAGCTTGCAGAGCATGTAGAAAACAGTGGACAGAGTGGAGGGTCTGTTTGGTCATAAGCCAGGATGGTTAAGCCTCAGTGGTGTGTTTAAGACTGGGCTGGGGGAAGATGTCTGTTAAACTGGATGTAGTTACACTTTAACTAATCCCCTAAGATAGTGAAGAAATTTAAGATGAGTGCTGAAAGGGTTAAAATCTGTTTTAGTTGGAAACTGTATGTTTTATTATTCTCAGACTGCACAGAAATTTCTTGCAGCTGTTGCATTGCATCCAATCGCAGTAGTATCAAAATAACATGTTCCCCATTTACTCCAGAAAACGCTACAATGACACTTTCAGTTGTTACCTAGACTGTGCCCTACAATCCAGTAAGGGAAGATTTTGTTACCTCTAGCCTGTACAGAAAACCCTTTCCCACATGTCATGTTCTTGATCTTCACCTTCTGGGTTGAAAAATGGATGGCTGAAGCCATCAAATTTTCAAAGGCTGGGGCCAAAATTAAACTTTTCTAAATCTCTATTTTGATAACTACAGAATGCACTACTTTACAGACAGCTCAGGACCCAACCGATTTTTCTTTTTATCGATGTTTAACATATGATATGAGAAGACAATAACAGTTGGATTTGTGTCACAGTGAAAGTACGTTGTCAATTTTTTCTGTTACAGGCAAAGCCATTAAGCATGCAAGAGAAGTTTTGTTTACCGGAGAGGCAGGCGTGAGAAAGGGCATTCCAAAGGTTGTGGTTGTCATTACTGATGGGCGATCACAGGATGATGTGAACAAAGTCTCCAGAGAAATGCAACTAGATGGTAAAATATGTAGTTTTAATAACTATTCACATTTTCCTTTTTCTCATTAATTATAACTATATAAGTGTGGACATGAGATAAAGGTAACTTTTGCTACTGGAAGATTTCCAAGTTTGAAGAAAAAAGCGATTGCTGAGAAACTCAGAATTTCACTAGGATGTGGTTTGATTCTGGATTTGTTTTTGTGATTAATGCTATTATTTTTCATTTTGGTGGCAGTGCTAAAATCATGTAGTAGTCAATGGAATTGCTCCCACGATGAAGAATTTAGGGGACATGATCCTGAGAATCTGGACTGTCATCTATGAAGTGTAGTTTTGTGGTTACCAGCAAACTGAACTGTTTTGTTTCATACAGAAGAGGTCCTTTGAAAATTCTTTCATATGTTCTTTTACTGGTTCTGATCTGCTCTCACGTTGCACTAATTACTTTTAGGAATTTTTTTTAAACCACCAATTTTTAGAGCTTTAAGCAGCTGCACAGTATTGTGAGTCAAAGCATAAGAACTGGGTTAGTTGTTATAGAAACGTCTGATACTGAGGTTTGTGTCAAAACCCAAAGGGCACAGTGTGCCACATTGAACAAAACTAAAGGATGGAAGAAGAAAGCTATCACACTTTTAATGTGAGGAGATCTAAGAAGAAATTAACGTTTGTGCTTTATTTGCCTTGAGACTTCAGCAGCTATGAAGTTACCAGCATGTATTACTGATTCCCGAAACCCAATGCAATCGTTGAGCTTGGCTGCTGCTTTGTATTATTGCTAGATGCTGAGTGCAGTGCCTTCATAAATAAAATCATATCACAAACTAGTAGAGCACGCATAACTTGTTTTAAGTAGCAATCAAGAAAACCCTGTATTTGTGAATAAATTGGCATCTATGTCTAAGCTGAACAAAAAATGTTCAACTGTCAAGTAAGTCTTGCAGTTGCATTATTAACTGTTCGGCTGGCAATGATCTTGAGAGGAGAAGGCATATGGTGGGGCTTAAATTGCTGACTGGGATGTGTCACGTTGGACAAATTACTTCCTCTCTCCCCCTTCCTTTTGTTTGTGCTGTATCTTTAAGCTGCAGATAGGTTGGAGCAGGTACTAACTTGCATCTGTGATAGAGACTGGCATGAAGAGGTGCTGGTCTTGGATGAGACATGAAGATTCTGTTATAATAAATCAGAGTTTTGTTGTGCTGAAAGCTCTGCAGACCGTGATGAATGCCCCTGGGCCTCATTCAAACTTAAAGACAATATTGGTTGACTGGAGTAAATTTGGGACTGAGCCATGCAAGAAGAGTATATCCATTAACAATATTCAGATTAATGTAGAGAGGTTTTTTTTCTTCATCTTTTATAGAAAGGAAAATGCTGAAAAACTTTTAGCTAGTTTGCTGCTCCTCAAACATATAGAATACAACTTCCATTTCATCTTAAATTTAAATTTAAATCTTTGAAGTCAGGCTCAAATTCTGAAATATATTAATGCAGAATACAAAGAACAGATTCAACCAGTGCCGTTAAGTTGCTGATGAAATGAGGATGCATTTGTTTCAGTGTTCACTCATGAGGCAACAGTGGCTAGAAAACTGATTAATATATGGCACCAACCAAAATCTGTAAAAGACCTATAGGAAATTCATTTCTGTCCTTTGTATTTATGATATACTTGATACATGGATTTTTTCTGTGTATTACAGTATATCATTAAATCAGAAAAGCATTTAAACATATTCTAAAACTTTAAACTACTGAGTAGTCTTCTATGTCTTCAAGAAAACACTTAAGCATTAACTTTAATTAACTGATAAAGCATAAATAGCCAAAAGAAATATCTCCACAGAGAATGTAGTACTTTTATTTTAAATTACATGCATGAATTTTCTTGTGTTATATGATAATAAGAAAATTTCCACCACTGTATTTAATCGGGAAAGGAGCCAGTGCAAACACAGTTGCGTTCATATTGTATTTCCACTTTTTAATGAATGACTCACAGGAGTGTTCTTTTTTTTTTTTTTTTACAGTTTTCACTTTTTTTGCTATTGGAGTAGCCGATGCTGACTATTCAGAGTTAGTTAATATCGGCAGCAAGCCCAGTGAAAGACATGTCTTCTTTGTGGATGACTTTGATGCCTTTACAAAGATTGAAGATGAGCTGATCACTTTTGTTTGTGAAACTGCATCAGCAAGTTAGCCCTTTTGACTAATACTTGCTTTTAAAATAATAAGTGCTAAATACTGGGGGGTTTGTAACTATTATTTTTCTATTAAGAGGTATTCTTGATCTTTTTAACATAATTTACTGCAGATATTATAAATCTAATATTATTTCCATAAAAGATTAAGGGAATGAAGGTGTTGTGATGTCATAATAACTAATGGTTGTTTGCTATAAATCCAGAATACATCCACTGGTGGTAAAAAAGTTATTTCAGATTTGAAACATTGGTAATGGTTCAGAATTTAGTCATTAAAAGTTAATTATATTTTAGTTTCTAGGCTACTTTAACCATCTGTAAGAGTAGTGTTAGCTACATTCATTATTACTCAAATCACATGGTTAATTTATTAACGGAGAGCTAATCATTAATGTTTGCATTATCAGAGAAAGCAGAAGAGTTGTAACCCAGGGAAAAGCATAAAACACACCCAAACTCTTTGAAATCTGTGAAAACACCACACTTCAGACTCTATGAAAATGAGGGGAAAGACATTCTAGAACAACATCTAACAGTTAGAGGTCAATAGTTCATATGCTTTAACGTGTGTGCCCTCAATATCTTTCCTTATATATAAGCCAGGAAGTAGGCAGTGTGTAGCTGATGTGAATCATTTGTGATCGTGAGGAATCCTTGTGCACAGGACTGTGAGTTGTCATGGGACTGTGAGTTATCAGAGCTGGTGAACCCAAATATGTTGCTTGTGTTCCATCTATTGTTTAGTTTTGACCATAAACTCTACTTTCAATGGTAAAGAGAACTTGAGAATACTCAACAGTAGTATTTATTGGTCACTTGTGCTTGTATTCTAAAAGTGATCTCCAAATTTGAGCACCCTGGGGTACCATATTTGACACCCTGCATCTATTGATTTCCCAGGGTGCCTTTCCTGGAAGAGATTAGTGTGCTTTCTTGCCTGCCAGAAGAAAAATATAAAACAGATTTATAGCTATTTAAAATGAGTGCACACATCTTAAGGACAGTGTGCAATTGTGGTCTCTGTTGCTCATGAAAGCTATTGTGGAGTTTGAAAAGGTACAGGGAACGCCAGCTAAAGTAATTGAGCTTGAGCTGGAGTTAGGCTGGAGAAGTTCACAAATTGAGAACTAGGGAGGACTGGTTAAAGCCCAGTGTAAGACATACATTTTTATGCAGCAGACAGGGAATTTGTTGCCACAAGAGGTTGTGTAGGCAGGTTCATAGAAAGATTAGACAAATTCATGGATAACAGATCCGTAAAAGGATATATATGCAACACACAGGGATGTACCCTTTTACATCTTTGTTACAATCCTTGTGGATCCTGAGGAGTACCAACTGAATGGGGTGGAACGTGGCCAGGTTTGCATGACGTTCCTAAAGAGCATCTCCTTTTGCTGCTTTTGGGGATAAAGTACTGAGCTGAGTGGATCATTGTTCTGACCCAGTGGGACACCCCTTGTGTGCTTAAATATATCTTTCCTTCTTTTCCAGCCTGCCCATTGATAGTTAAAGATGGCAACAATTTTGCAGGTACAGTACTTCTGTGTTCATCTTTGTCCCTGATTTATGAAATCATTTTCATTATCTGATTTTCACACTATTAGGCAATAAATTTCCCTTTATGCTAACAGTTGTTAAACAGATGGTGCTATGAAACTCTTTGATGCAACTGGGTTTGTCCTTTTTTTGTTTCCTGTAATGCAGTGTTAATTTAAATTAATATAACGTATATTTTGATGCCTTCCAGGATTTAAAATGATGGAGATGTTTGGTTTGGTTGAAAAGGAGTTTTCAGCTGTGGAGGGGGTTTCAATGGAACCTGGTACATTTAATGTTTACCCATGTTACAGACTACACAAGGATGCCCTGGTATCCCAGCCTACCAAGTATGTATTAACATATAAATATTCATAAAACGCATGAAGATAGTTGTCCAGTGCAGGCAATTATTCATTTCAAGGTTCAGTATTTTCATGTCAGAAGAGCAGAGATGCTAGTGTAAATCTACATTATACTAATGAATAGGAAGAACTTTTGGTGTCCTGAGTCCTCAGTCAGTTTTATTCAAAAATAGCAGTTGGGGGTAAAAGTAGGTAAGCCCACTGGTTGTTGTGGGTTTCCTACATGAGCCAGTTTCAGGCTTGTGCCAGTTTAGCACCAAGCAATGTTGTGCAGGTGTATTTTTTTGGCAGATTCTAGTATGTAGTACTTTGTGAGATGTGCCTCTGAAAAGTGTGTTGAAGTCTCGTGGAGTGCAGAATGTCTTTGAAGTCTGAGTCAGAGTGGGAACCTGCTTTAGGTGTCCTCAGTCACCTTCTGCATCAGTCTATGTCCATTCATTGATTACAAGGAAGATGATCTCCGTATGCTGAAATGAGTCTGTGTGAACACCATCTAGTACCCTCCTGGGAGGCAGGACATAGTTCAGTCACAAGGACTATGTCCTGGGAGGAGGTGATGATTTGAAGGAGTAGATGAAGAAATCTCCCATTGAAACTTAATATTCGTTCCTTAGAGAGGAAGTGATGGGAACTCTCCATTTTTTTCTGTGAACAGTGTGTTAGTTGTGTTTGGTTCCTCTCAGTCCAGTCCCCAACTTTGTATTAATTAAGTGGCATCAGAGAAAAGTAGTGACCCCGCTGTTTTAAACATGGGAAGATGTAACAAAAAGTATTCTTTAGCTGAGATAAGTAAGGAAGAAAAACAGTGAGGAATTACTTTTAAGGTTTATGTTAAATGTCATATTAGTCTTTTTTGTGTGATTATCCTGTTGTGTCCCGGTTGGAGCTATACTTCTTGGAACTGTTTCACATTCTCCGTGTTTAGTGTCCTCCTGGGTCTAGATGGACTGGAATCTCCAGGGATTAGCATTTCTCACTTATTTTCCCCTTTCTACTTCTTTCTAATTGGATCTGCTGCATTTATGTGCTCTTCTCTAGCTGCCACCCCAGCCCAATCTTACTGCTTCATTAGGCTTTCACTCCTTTTCATGGATGAGAGAATACCTTTCTCTTGATGATCTACAGGTACGTCTGAATAATCCACTTGTTCATGTCATCTCATCTGTGTGCTGAGTGTCATTAATGTTATTCTCCATTCTAAGGTCTCTGTCCCCAAACCTTGTGTTTGCCCCACCCTGCCTACTGGATTTTCTTTCATTCTTTGTACAATGGGCATACTGTAAGGCTTTTTTCTTATACCTATTGAGTTTTCTCTCTCTTTTCTCTATGGGAAGTGTGTAGTGCAACATCACATTTGATCATCTTAAGACCACTGTGCAGAATATATTGATTATACATCACATTTAACTCCTTTTCTTGCATGATTCATATCTATACATCTTATATGTGCCAGAAACACTTTAGGAGGAATAGATCATACTTGGGGAAAAGAAACTGATTAAATGACCTCTTCAGGCTACTTTCAGATCCCTTTCCTATGATTTTAAGGAATCAGACTAACTAACATTTTAAAAACACAGTCAGTTATTTCAGACACTTGTCCAAATGTCCCACTTTGGGATTTGACAATGAAAGGTTAAATTAAGTTGGAAGTACTAAATAACAAATTTTAGGAAATGGCATAAAATAACATGCTTCTTTTACATCATAAACTTCCTCTCTCCTTTGTAAGAATTTGAGAACAGATTGTATTTCTGTATATGCGATCTGTTTTGACTTAACTTTCTCATATATTGGCTTTGAAATGTATAAACTACATTCCTTATAATTTATAACGCTTCCTGTAACTGTCTCTGTTATTCCTAATTTCTATCCATTTGTGATGATTTAATGACAGAGGACATGTCTTTTGACATTGGTTTTTCAAGCAGCTTCTATTTTCATTGTCTGTTAAACCAGTAAATAGCAAGGGTCTTTTGAATGGCTACTATTTTTTAAAAGCTTTTAATACAATTAATTTAATCTTTACTTCAAATTGACCTCCGTTTTGATCTTCAAATTAAAGAAAAAAATTAAGGGCAATTTTGTAAATTTCAAGGGAAAATAAAACTTCTCATTTCTTCATAAGTATTCTTTTGATAGTTATTGAGTAGATTTTGCAAACACTTATTCATATTGCTTCTCAGTCTTGACTTCCAAAGAAATATCCAGAGTAATAGATAGTGTGTTAAGTGAACATCTGGGGAGTAAATTACTCGATTTAATGTTTGTTTCAGCTTAAAAGATGTTATTTCTCTTACAGGTATTTGCATCCTGAAGGTCTCCCTTCTGATTACACCATTACGTTTCTCTTTCGTATACTCCCCGACACACCTCAGGAGCCATTTGCTCTTTGGGAGATTTTAAATGAAAAATATGAACCACTGGTTGGAGTTATTTTAGATAGTATGTATTTTGTATCTTATCAGTGATTTTTACTTTAACTGTGTGAATGATTCATTCTGTGTCTAGATTTATTATTGCCAATGTTTTAAACTGCTGCCAGAACAACTACCTGAATTTGGAAGGTGAAAGTCTCTAATGGATGTTTTTAAAATTTGAATTAAATATACTGAGTTTATTTTGGAGTTAGAGTCAAATTTTGAGTATGCTGCTCTCAACTGGGAGCAATGATAGTGAAATCCAAAGAGCTGTACTAGAGTTAAATTGACGTAAGGGAGCTACTAATTTGCTTTTAAAATTTCCACTGCTCTGAATCTGGTTCTAACAGATCTATCTCGATATACGCCAGTGGTACTGACAGTACAGTGTATGTAGAGCCAATGCCGTCTGGTGGATAGCAGATTTAGAGCTAGAGACATGAACTCTTGATCACTCTCTTCATTTTCACTTGATTTCACTTCCACAACTGTAAAACAGGGATTATGATTTAGAAGGTTTTGATATTTAATGTTGAAAAGATGTAGATACTATGATAGCTGCTCTTCATAGCTGCCAATTTTAAGAGACATATATTAGTACTTATCTTTCTGTCTTTCATATCATTTTTGAGATAGGTCACCTCGAAATACGTGGGAAATAGGCATTTAGCTAGCTTGAGCATCCATGCCTCCTTTTCTTCTCCCAGTCCCACAGACATGGGTGAGGTGGACTCCCACCTATTGGCTCATCCTTCCTGTCAAACCAGGAAAGAGCATTTCTCTGAGACAACTTGTTACTTCCAGTCAGTATATCACTTATGAATGTGTTTTACTAACATGTGATCTGACATCTTCGGTCATCTTAGTTAAACGCAAAATGACCCTTTCAAATAATATATCAGACCTTTTCTTCCTCTAACACGGAGCCCTTATTTTTATTCTCACACAGATGGTGGTAAAACACTGACTTTCTTTAACTATGACTACAAAGGAGATTTTCAAACTGTGACTTTTGAAGGTCCTGAAATAAGGAAGATATTTTATGGGAGTTTTCATAAGGTTAGTAATGGTAATAGGAAAAAAAAAAAAAAAAGGCACTCTGAATAAAGGTTTGGGAGCTCTTCATGTTTTGAACTCTTCTTTCATGTCTTCAACTGCTGCCAAAAGAAAAGTATTTTGCGTATTCAGAACACTGTACCAAACTGTCCTAAGTCTCCTTGTAATATTGAACTAACATGAAAAAAATAATGGTTTTATGATGAAGCTGATGTGGTCAATTTTCATCTCAGGCTTTGTGCCTGTGTTTTAGAGTTGATTAAAAATACTTGCCTTGAAATGTAATTTAGAAATAAATTGACTTTTCCTTTTAAGGTTTAGATTGGAAATGTCACTCAAAATTAAAAGAAAAAGTCCATAAAAAAAATTATCCTTCTTTTGATTAGAGTTGTTATTTTTAAACATTTTTTAAGGGCTATGCCATGTCAAACTTTTCTTGGCTGTTAGAGAACTCGTAACATTCTTTCCAAGACCAGATGAAGTAGTGCCGGGATTATAGCACGTATTTATTGTGGAAGATGCTTTTGTTTTTCACTTTTATTCCTGATGTTTGTGTCTTTTCTAAACAAAAAAAGGAGAGACTGTGGATTGAGGGATGGTATTTACAGAGCTTAACTTTTCTGTACTTTTTAATCGATGGAGCAAGAAAGGGAAGGTAGGTCAGAGCTGGACTCTAATTCTGACTCTTTTAAGTTGTGCTTTGGAAGAATATATGAGGCTTCAGCAAATTTTCCTCTTAAGCATTTTTCTGCATTTTGAATAATGATCCTTGCTGTACATGTGTTGGAGAGGCACAGAATACCAAATTTATAGCATCTTTTCAGTTATTCAGTTCCAGCTGAGCCCATAGCAATGCGGTTACAGGATTTCTTCCTGGCATTCTCTCCTACACCTTGGGCTCTGGTCTCCACGTAGGGGATGGGTATAGAGCAGATACTGCATTTCTACCAGCTTTTCATGTGTTCTCCCTGCCAAAAAAAAATTGTTCTTTGCTTAACTGAGAGTTTGCTCATGACAGGACAGTTGTAGCTGGGATTGTCCTCTCTGCTGGGAATGTCTTTGCTGCACCAGCAATGGACAACAGAGCGTGAGCCAAGGCAGAAGGAAGTAACTCTGTTGCTGTGCTCTGCTTTTCTGTACTGCGTTTGATGTGATTTGATTTTTTTCAGTGTTAAAACTTCACTATGAAAGGTTTTGTTGTGTGGTTAATGCATAATTTACAGGCCAAATTTTAATGCTTAGTGGCTATAAAAGATGTACTGGTGAAATGCAGTGCTATATAGCAGGGTCATACAAGTCCCAGGAATTATTACTGACCATATAAATTAAGGGTTCTTCAGGATCTGGGTGGTATTGTGTAGATATTTTGTCAGGGGTACATTATTTTCTTATTGAATAAATTATGTCAGGTGCCAATTTGTATGAAGAAAGCATACATAAGCAGAAAAATAAGCTAAATTCATTAAACAGAGTAGAATCATAGAATAATTCAGATCAGAAGAGACCTCTAGAGGTCATCTACATTGTTTCTTGTAGATTATTCTCTGCGTTTCATTACTAAACATGGAGTTAGGAGCTCATTTCAAAAAATGTCCCCCTTTTCCTAGGAAATTAATGTATCTTATGTGCTCCTTTGTGTGTTAAAGCATCTTTTCTTTTGCTTAGTTGCATGTTGTTATCAGCAAGACTACGGCCAAAATAATTATTGACTGCAAGCAAGTGAGCGAGAAGACCATTAATGCAGCAGGGAATATTAGTTCTGATGGCATAGAAGTGCTGGGGAGAATGGTCAGATCCAGAGGACCAAGAGACAACTCTGTGCCAGTGAGTAGAAAGAGAACAATTCTTTAAACCATTTAAAATCTCCTAAAAATAAGTGTTTTGGATCTTAGCAGCTAGTTTTAAGTTGAAGCAGAGTGAACTCATATTTGAAACTGTAAAGTTCCAGCATTTCAGAGATTCTGCAAAAGGCTGGAGCAGTTATCAACTTGTGAAAAATCTGGTTTTGATTATTTTAATAAATGAAATTACTAGATCATCGTTGTTCGAATGTTATTCTCAAGCACAGTTGTGAATGCAGTTGATACATTCAGATATGCCTTATGTTCCAACTCCATTAAGTGGAGTAATACAATATATATATACACCTGAAATAATTTAAACTTCATTTTGAGTGACAGTTATTCCCCGTGTCTCTTATCTCCACTTACTCTATGTTTGCCCTAAGCTCACTATCTGCTCATTAAAGAATTGAACGGGTTTGACACAGAGGGCCCCCAAAAGCCTCTGTCTTAGTATACCTAGTTCTTTTACAATATAAAATATTTTAAATGTGAAAGATCCACCCCAAGATTAAGTACTCTTTCATTCCTCTGAAATTATTCTCCTAGAAGCAGTAATTATCATTCTGTTTGCACGGCAACCTATGAGAATCTCTCCATTTTGCTGCAGATGCCATTAAGGTTTGTTTGGACTTTTCAGGTAGATTTAGTTGTTGAAGAAGAATTGACAATCTGACAATGATTTTAGGAAGGCTTCTTTGCTGTGCAGTACTGTTTGCTAATTTTCTTTGAACTTTCTTGACCTTAGAATGAGGTTAGCAGAGAATGTGAACCTTGAACTCAAGGCTTGACTGGAATAAGAATGAGGTTTCAGAAATGGATTTACTTGCTACTATACTCTTGTTTAGCAAAAAATAAGCCCTCAGAATGTATCTCTGTGTACAAAAAAGAGCCTTTAGGCCTCAAACTTATGGGTAATAATTATATGAAGCCTGTAAAGACAACTACACAGAGAAACCTTTGTAGTCACATTTCAATAGAAACAGAAAAAAGCAAACTTAGGAAATCTTGGAATTAGAGAAGGCTTTGTAAAGGAGTGGAAAGAAATGGTGTCTTTTGTTAGAACCCAGGACTCTATAAAAGATAGGTCAGACTGCCCACTCACTGAAAAATTTGGTTTGTTCAAATGAATTGTAAAACTGACGTAAGACTTCAAATGTGTAGCTGAAGATGAAAATTCTTTACTCCATGGTACTGTTTAGCTGCCTTCAAGTATTACCACATATACTAAATTACGGGCAGGTCAAGGAAGCACCCAAATGACATTTTTTAAAGTTTCCATTCTGCATGTTTTATTCATACTGAGTAGAACTTGTGTGAATAGTCACATTTAAGGCATGAATGAGTTTGTTTCCTCTACTCCAAAAATTAGAGGATATCAAAGCAGCTAGCAGCACGTGGGGTAAAGGTTCTTCTCACAACAGGTAGTTGTGCAGGATCAGTGCAGTTCCTTACTGTAGAATTTTGTGCTAAATATTTGTATAGATTGTAGGGAAGCCTGGACAAATGAATAAAAGGGAAATATTGGTTGTGAACAAATCTGGAGCAGGAACTCCCTGACTGAAATTCATTGGAAGCTAGCAGACTGTAAGGTAGAATTGTGACTTACACTGCTGTGATTCATTAGGTATCACTTGTGCCACCATTGGAAATAGAATACTGAGATTTAGTCCATTCCAGTATCTTCACAGGTTTAAGAGCCTCATGAAGGTATGCATACAACAAAAATTACTTTTTATAAAACATTTTGAAAATTGTGTTGAATTGATATGAAAATTGAGGTTTGTTGATAGTTCTGAAAAGTTCCTTTTCCGCCACCTGTATTTTCATGAAATGCTTTCATCTTAGTTTTAGAGATGCTTATTACATAAAATAAAAACAGGCAGGTAGTTATTTAGGAATAAAATTGTGGATGTTTTGTTCTGACTGTATTCACATGCAACAGTGTAACATTGCCAGAATGTTTTAGTATATTTTTGTATAAATGAATCCAGTGCAATAACCTGAATTTTGCAAAACATTTCACTTTTGAAGTATAATTGTATCAGAGGTTTTTTTCACATTGATGCGTATGGTGTACAACAATTCAATGAATGCACAGAAACAGAGATAGATAGGACAAGAAGGGGATTAGGCTAAAGTTGCCTTTTAACATCCTGTAATAGTGAGGCGTGTCTGGATTAGACACTTAAGCCAGCTAGGGCAATGAAACCTGACCATGACATGCAGCGAGTAATGTTCTTTATTCTTTCAGTGGGATTTAATTAAAAGTCCATCATTAAAACATCAATAAAAATAAGGTTTGTCAATTGTAAATAAACAATGTTTTATTTTCTTTTTCAGCTTAATTTGTTTACTTCTGTGTATAAGTACTGCTAAAAAAAAGTAGTGTGTGATGTGGTCTGCTCTTGAGAAATCCTTTCAGAACTGTAGCCTGATAAGATGAGGATGGGCAGACAAAGCAAAATCACTATGAATACAGAGAATTATTAATAAATGTTTAATGGTAGCAAAGAAAGCTTTGTTTAGTTATTTAGCTTGAGTCAGAGCAACCCACATAATATTTCAAAGTAAGGATACTGAGTCATTCAACATTTGGATGGTGAATACAGCAATTCAGGGAATGTCCATTTGCTCTTTATTTTACACCAATGTGCTTTATTGCTGTGTATCTCTACATTGTCTAATTCAGAGAAAATGGACACAAATACACCCCGATGTAGGACTGCATACATTTCTGAGCCCAGAGGGGTATGTTCGTGTGTGTTCATTTGCTACTGTGGTCAAGCTAATGAGTTCTCCTGGAATTAGTAGCTTTTGGGATGCGTAGGCATCGAAGTGGCTCCACCTGGAGCCAGCTTGTATTTCACATAGCCAGGGACACAGACTTGTTGGACTCAGGATAGACCTTTGTGGAGCCAGACCAAGTGTCCAAAAGTTGCCTTCATGCTGCACTTCAGATGTCTAAGGCATTTAGCATGGAGCCAGCACACGTGTGTCTGCATCTGTAGTACAGCATGTCTACAACCCAGCTAGCTACTCTGCTGGAGGGTAAGAAGAATTTCTATTTATATGCAAGTATTCCTTTTTTTAAAATATAATAGATGACAAGAAAAAAGATGAAGCAAAACTGAAGGTGCACATATGTAGTTCATTTTAACAGCTTTAGAAACAATACAGTTTTAAAAAAAAATCTTTAAATTCACTCCTCTGTTCTAGTGTTAAAATAAAGTCACCAAAAATAATAATAGGAGCAAAACCAAGGAGAGTTCTATCTCTAGCAGTTCCTCAAATTTTTTAACATGTGGGGTTAATTTAATGGGATGTTCTGTTCCATTCCCCTCTCTATTCAGTATGCACATAAATGAGGCATGGAAAAAGAACAGAAATAGTAACAGAAGAAAGCTTCATCTCTCTAGACCCCTTTGTTCAGTTCAAGGCTGTAAAGGCGACAATTGGTTTTACCATTGAGTCCTATTTAGTACATTGTTTCTGAGTACCTGACAGCCATTATTTTTACCAAATGTGTGTGTTCTTGTAGATTAAATTCATGTCCAAACCATGTTCCCAGACCTGTGGTGGGAATTTTCTTTTCTGCCCAGTGTTGTCATGTGTTGAGCAAGCTTTTCACCGTCCTGGAACTTTCATTGCCTGGGGATAATATGGATAAGAGGGGGGAATATTCTAAAGTAAAATAAAACTGGAGAAGATGATAAATATTATTAGTGGCTCGGCTCCAGTATAAGTAATAGCCTACAGGAGAACTTTTCCCAGATAAAATCTGAGCACCAGACCAATGGGTTAAGAGAAATTACTCAGTTTTGAGCAGCTGAGCTCTCTTTTGCCTGACTCTTGATGCTCCTTTGCTAGAAAAAAAGTATTGGGAGGCACCATAGGGCAAAATCAGGAATTTGATCAAGGAGGAGGGGATAATCCAACAAATGCCTGCAGAATTTAACCTTCAACAGCTTGCTCAATCCATGTAACGTCTGATAGTTCAGATAATTTGGTTAGAACACAAGTCTTTTGCCATTTAAGACAGCGTCTTTATGGCTAGCTGCTTGATAGTCTTTCCTCTGTCTAATCTGAGTGCTTGAATCAAGGTAGCTTTTCTTGCTGATGGCTCCATTTTGCACTGATCTTACAACTAACAGTCACTTTGTACATCACCCTTGTTTTCAAACAGTTGCAGTTACAGATGTTTGACATTGTCTGTGCTACCTCATGGGCCAATCGGGACAAATGCTGTGAGCTGCCTGGCTTGGTAAGAAACCTCTTTCAATAACTGTAGAATTTACCTTTTGCTTTCCCCTTTGAGACAAATGTGTTAATAGAAATGGATGGTGTCGTGGGTTAAGCACAGACTGCTTAAAGAATTAAGAATTTTCAAAAAAGCCCGAGTCTGCTCAGATTACTTGTCCTATTGAAAGTCAATGTGATGTATGTTTCTAAATCAAGTAGGTGCTTTTCAGGCATCCCCACTGTACTATGTCTTCAATTCAGACGTTAAGAATTTTATGAATTAAAGTTTTGGACATAATTCTCTTCCTATCTTGATCTTTTCTTAGAGAGATGAAGAAAATTGCCCTGCCCTTCCTCATTCTTGTTCCTGTTCAGAAGCTAATAAGGGTCCCCTTGGACCTCCTGGACCACCGGTAAGGTTTTATTCAGGTTTGTAGTCAACTGTACCAAATAGTCCACTGGCCACCTTTTTTCCAAGACATGTGAATACACTGCCATTGTATAAATAATAAGCTTAAAATAGGGTTTTAAGTATTGACAAAGAGATAAAACTACATTCAATTTATAGCAAAGATACCAAGTAATATGCCGTAAAAAACCCTTCTCACCCAATAAGTCAGTCAAATTTTTGATGGTTTAATCAAGACCTGGAGCAGTTTGGATAATATTTTGACATATCCTATCATGCCTAGACATACCTATCTTTGGGATATAACCATGCCACTTGTGTGACAGAAGACATAAGAAGACTTTTCTGTCTTAAAAGCCCTACTTAAGTAGAATATTTATTGGAAAGCAGAACTGAAAGTGCCAGTTCTTCTGAGAGCTCCTAGAAGGAGACAGGTACAAAAAGTGGTGAAGAGAAGAAAGGATGAAATGAACTGGCTTTGGTGAAAGCTGAATTGAAATTTTTTATTCTAGCTTGCCAGTGTGTATTTCACCATTCACTGTCACTTTTACCTGTACTTTGTGGTGTAGATATCACTCATCTAAGTGTTTACTGTGTAAATGTTATGTCAGTGTATATCTAAGTTCCTTGCATAACCAGTGGAACTAGATAGTCTCTTCTAGAAGACAATTCTTTTATACTCAGCATAGTATCTTAGAAAAATGGGATAATCTCATTTCTCTTTACTGGCTTCTGAGAGAACTCAAATAATGGATCAAACAACTGAGATATGGGTTAAAGTTAGATAACTCTAACTATTTAGAAAAGTTTTAGGCTCTGTTTGCAGTAGTCTATTACTGGTTTGGTGTAATGAGAATCCTAACTGGGGTGTTTGTAGAATGGTCTTGTGTTTTTTTTCTTTTACAACTAGATTGATAACTCTGATTGGCATCTTAGGGCTGCTTGCTAAGTTAGCTTGAGATGAGGCCCTCCTGTGAACAAGTTTGAACTCTGTGTTTCTCTGCTTCTACTGTGTCCTGGATGCTCCAAGAGCAAGTTTTGAAGAGAAAGAGCCAGTGAAGAATGCAAAGAAAAATAAGTTTCTGAAAAGACTAGAGTATACAAATTACATGAGATACATGTTCAACAACAAAATTAACTTGGATGTAAGACATTCACATAGTAGATCTTAGCAGACATTTATTCTAGTAACAACTCAGAGGTTGGTCTTTCTGCAAAAACTTTCTGCAAAGGGGAGAAATTTCACTGAAGAGGTGTATCTTGAACAAGTAAAAATTATTCTATTCTATTTGAATGTAGATTGTAAATCAAGTACAGATTGAGGTTTTGATTTCTATATATAGGTGTCCAATTTGTGTTCTGTGAAAAAGACAATGGGATAATTCACACAAAATGCAACTGAAATTGGGTAGTTTGACCACATTTCACACTAAAATGAAAAATGTTAAAAACTATTTGACTGGAAGGATGTGTGTTACTAGAGTTGGAAACATACACAGATCAGGAATTGTTAAAGCTTAACCCAGCAGTAAAATAATGTACTTCTATTTGTTACATTTATGATTAACAATATTTTGAGTAGCACAGTGCCATGCAAGAGGAGACTTAAAATCACACAGAAAAATCACTGCCTAGGTAGGGGAGTATGTGATTCTGGAACTCAGCCTCTTATGAGTGATACTTTTTTGCCAGACAGTTAGATGGCATACCTCTGGAAAAAAAATGAGAGACCTAGGAAAAAGCAGAGCAAAAGAATAAAGTCAGTGTTCATGCCTGTGCCAACCAAAAGTCAGAAAGTCACATGTGCTATGTCTGGCCAGTACTGCTCCAAGTCATTAAAATGTCATGTGACTTTTCTCTAAGCCAAGGATTTTTCTGTTTAAGGGATCAGGATTCTAGCATGTAGCCAGTTTTAGATATTAGACTAAAAAGACTCCAAATAAAAGGCTTCCATTTATGTGGGATAGTATCTCTGGAAATATTTTTTAAGCTCTTTTAGGAAGTGGGTCATTTTGGGTAAGACAAAGTATCATTTAGAGTTAAGATTATCTGGCAGATTTCATTATGGGGTACTATTTTTATGGCTTAGTCTTTGCCAGAATTTGATCACGCTGTCTGAAGTTCCCCACGAAAAGTAAAAGTAAAATAGCACAGAGACCTGATGCCTGCATTACTGGAGAAGGTGAGGAAAGAGACAAAATATTGGAGGACTGGAGAAGTTTAATTGCAATGAAAAGCTTTCAGTGCTTCATAGGTTTTAACTGTTAAAAAGAAATATGGAGGTGACTTGATAACAGTTGATTAAGAACTGTTTCTGAGGGAAAGCACTGACTATTAAGACGTTATTTAAAATAAGAGAAAAAGGCATAACAGGAATTCTTGGCTAGAAGTAGAAGCCAAAGAAATGAAATATTTGTAATTAGTCACACCAGCTTAGTAGTGCTGGGGAATAACCACCAAAACAAGTGCATTAGAAAAATTAGGGAGGCTCTTGTGATGTTTTCATCTTAAATCAATACTTTTCTGGAACTTGTGCTTTTACCAAGCAAAGGTTACCAGGTTAAAAGCGTGGATAAGTGTACCAAAGTCAGGGTGAATCTTAAAGCATACGATTGAATGGCTCAGCATCGTGCTATTTTTAAGTACATAGTCTTACTCAGTAAAAATGTAATTTTTTCTGAGAAGAAAATGGGAGAAAATTGTGATTTTTGTTTATGTTTAAAAGTTGCAGTTATCTTGCTGAGCTTTTGCGTAGGAATTCCATGGTTCTGTGGAGAGGGTGGGATGAGATTTTAGGGTCGGAGCTGACTGTGATGGAATGGGTTGGGGCCATAGAGCAGTAGGATGGAAGTGAGAAGACTCAAAGAGCAGGGACAAGGAGTAGAAAACTGCTCTGAGATCACACATATGAAGACTGTGTCATGATAACTTCATTGAAGAGCAAGAGTACTCTGGTACTTTCGAACACTTCTGTTATTGACATTCCTGTTTAAAGTCTCATAGATACTACATATGCATTTAATGGGATAAGCATATTTTCTGTTTTTATGTCTTTAATGTAATTGCTGTTATTTTTATAAGTACCCATTATAGTCTCTAAAGAACACTATTCAGTTACCTTGCCTAGTTGTACAATGTCCTTTTTCACTATAAAGAAGGGCAGAATCCCTGTAAAGCTCATATGCCAAGAGATTAAGCAATATACTCACGTGGGGGAAGAGGGAAACCGAGCTGATAAAAAGTGGAAAAAACCTTTTTACTTATGTTGTCCTAGAGGACAAACATATGCAGCATTTTTATGCAAAACATGTTCATGGCAGCCATCCACAGATATATGCAACTCCAGCGCTTCAGACAATACTAATAAAAAAGGCAACAGTTAGTTAATAAATGATTAACAGATGTAGGTACTGCTGAAGAAAGCAAAAAAGAGAAAAATGGGCAAAAGAGTATTTTACTTAAGAGTAGCTCTAAGTTAAACCATAGTAAGTCTAGTTAGATCCTGGAGTTGTCCTTCCTGAAAAATATTCCTGAGTTATTGGAAACTCAGCCTTCAACAATGTGGTGATTTTGGTGAGAACAGACAGATGTGCAGGAGGTTTCAGCCACTGGAAGGGAACCCATAGCCACATCTACACATTTCCATCCCTATCGTAGCTTTCAGTGTTATTTTGATGTTTATGTGGTGTCCATTCTTGACTCTAGAAAGCAGTCATATCTGTGTTTAAATCTGTTCCTGTGTATGGCCACGCTTAAGTATGTTCTCAGTTTAATTGCTCTAGTGCAAGGATATGGACAGAATATTCACCAATTCATGATTCAGGAACAAGAAAAAACTATTTGGGCTTCTCTGGATTTCATTTTTGTTTATTTGAGTTTTGATTTTCAGCAAGTCCTATGCTTATGCTTCACAGGGTGGTCCAGGTATCAGAGGTGCCAAAGGTCATCGTGGCGATCCAGGTCCAAAGGTACTTACTTTGTACAGCACTTTACAGCTGTCAGATGCACAGGTTCTTGGGTTATCTCTGCTGCATGTAAAACTTGAAATTAATTCCAGATTGTCTCTGATGTCACTGAGGAAAAAGCAAGTCCAGTGCCATTGGCATTTGGTGTGTCTCTTTTCATAACAATTGCTTGTCCTGTTTGTTCCTTGATAAAAGATATAAAACTCAGGATGCTGCTGTCACAGCATAAATCTTCATTGTTTTTGTGTTTATAAAGGAACCAGGCGGTTTTAAATTGAACCCTAACTGCTCAATCAAATGTTAACCCATATTTCAGATGTTTTTGAGTCTATTGGTATTTAAGTATTCAAACAGAAGTTGCCTTTGCCCATATGATAAGAGTTTAACTTATGTCGTGTGCTACTTTAGGGACCAGATGGACCTCGGGGTGAAATTGGTGTTCCTGGACCACAAGGACCTCCAGGACCACAAGGACCCAGTGGACTTTCTATTCAAGGGCTTCCAGTGAGACTTACAAAATCAATAGGATCTTTCTTGTGATGTTTTCAACAGCACATAGCTTAGACTAGACCGAAATATCTCTTAATGTCCTGATCAGAATCTGAAATTCAATATTCAAGGTGAAATCACAGATTTTTATTTAACCTATAGTGGACATGGGTTCAATGCCAACATTCTTGTTTTTATTTGGATCTGAAATTTTACTTAGCTGAAGGGAATTGATCACAGGTTGAGTATGACCAAGGTATTGGCGTCCAAGCCTGAAGACAAGTGAAAAAAAAATTCAGTGGGGATTGTAACATGGCCCCAAACCAAAATGTTAACATTTTGTCTTCTTTTGGTTGTGGTATTGCTCACTGAAGATCAGTTCTGACTTGAAAATTATACCCAAGCAAGAACACCACATTTGCTGCCAAAATTAAGCAATAATATTCACTACATTTACAGAGTCTATCATCAGAGGAGATGATCAGGCCTGGAGTTTGCAATGCTGTGGTGAAATAAGTCTCAGAATTTCATCACACAGACACATCAGTAGAATGATGAACCAGCAGCACTAATCTTTTTTTATATACATCTCTGGTAGATGGATACACATGAGCCTTGAAAGGTAGCAGATACATATCTTTTTCTGTTAGACTTTTTTTCAAAACTTACTACAGTATAATATACTTCATTATTTTTACTTTGTCTATATGCTACTGCTATACAAGTAATGAAGTGATTTACCAAAACTGTGTATTCTCATCAGAGAATAATACAGAATACATAGAATCATAGAATCATTAAGGTTGGAAAAGACCTCAAGGATCATCAAGTCCAACCCAACACCACGAATTATAAGAATAGTTATTTGATAGAGAAATTGTGTTTCTGCATAAAATTTAATTACAATTAGTTTATTATCTAGAAAAGTATATTTGTCATGCATATATACTGTAGGTACATGTGTAGTTTCCATAGAAATCCATTGGTTTCATCATTATAGGAAATTCTTCAGAGGTCTGAAGAGGAACAGATTCCTTTGAGGAGAAAAGAAAATAAATACCTTCTTTGTAGCATAATGGCTATAGTTTTGTCAGGTTGATTCTGAAGTCTTTTAAAATGAGTTTCATTTTCTGTATTTTTTCTGTATTTGTAAATTCTTCATGTACTGTTTTGCAAATAGTCTGTAGGTTTGCTTTTGGGCAGGAGAAATAGTCTATTTTCTTATTGTTTTCTTGGTTGTTTTTTTCTAAAGCAGCTGAAAGGAACTATAGAAAATAGGGAAGTAACAATGTATTGGGTTTACTATGTGTGATTCTTAATTTGCAGGGGCCGCCAGGTGAAAAGGGAGAGAAGGGAGACCTTGGTTTTCCTGGCCTGCAGGTATTCCCTAAGTTACTGTTTAACCTGTTGCTTGCTAACAAAGTTTGAATGTTGAATTGACATAATTGTGGATTTAGGGCATGTATTCAAAACTGCTGAGAAGCGTGTTGTTGGGGTGAATTTGAACAGAGATTGTTGGAATCAGGAATTTAGGGTATGCCAGTGTGCAGCGACTAAATCATTCAGGGCCTGAAGAACTGGTTACTCTCTCGACCTTGTTTAACACTGAAATTGGGTCTCTATACTCTCAAAACCTGTCCGCTCTTAGATTTCTGCTTATGTGGTGAATAGTTAGTGTCTGCTTGTTTTCACTTTAAACCCATTAAATTCCTCCTGGAATTACCTAGGGAGGACAGATCAGGCACTTAATCTTTTGGATGCCATCTTTCACAAGTCTGGCATCTTAAAAAGCTGCAGTATTCAGTGAATCCTATGCAGTTTGGTGTTTGGTATTTAGTCGGGATGTTGCATTCCAATTTAGTGCTCAGCTTTCCAGGATCTTTTGCCTCTTCCTTTTTTCAGATGCTTCTCTTCTGCTGATTATATCCCTCCAGTATTTGCTGGTTGTTACCAGGTTCCCCTCTCTTGTTCATACCCGTGAGGGCTACTAAAGTCGTACAGCCTTCCCTCATAAGTCAGTTTTGTTAGTCTTCTGGACCACTGCAGTAACGGTCCCAGACTGCTGCTCTGCTGCCTTCATGAGCCAGAAAGTGACATTTCATCTGAGCAACGGGGAGCTGCTGGACTAACTTGTAACCCTGTTCAGGCAGGATTTCCCCTTTGATATTGCTGCACTGGAGGAACAGCAGTTGTATTTTTAGGTTAAGGTACTGATGTCACGCAGCAGAGTTACACTGACATGCCACTGCAATGCTGTCGGAAATCAAGCTCTCTTTTCAGCTGAGCGGCATAGGAAGCCTGACTTGACAAAATGGACATGTTCTTAACAGAGGATTGTAGTGAGGGGATATGAAGCCTGTGCGTTTAACCATCTCTTATTTCACAGAAATACCTTCCTTACTGAATCTCTTCTATGGCCCCACCCATTATTGAACACCCATTTATCTAAAAACACATCATACAATTTCATTGGAAAGTGATTTAGTTGGATTCCATTAACTTGATCTCATCCTTTGCCCTCCCTTTATAATGCTTAGGGTGTCCCAGGAGCTTCAGGATCACCCGGAAGAGATGGAGCTCAAGGTCAAAGGGTAAGGTAAAATGAATATGTTTCGCATGTGTTTTGAGAGTTTCCATTCCATAACAGATATGTTTTCCCAGTGTGGGTGATTTATTACAGTTTACATCACTTGTATTCTATCATTTCTGGAGACCCATATCTGTGCCAGTTAGCAGAGAAGACAGAGATAGGGTGGAGTATCCTTCTATCTGCTGGATCAGGGTTGAGAAATACTAGAGGAGTAACGGGGAGCTGTGCACTGTGTTTGTGTTCAATGCATTTGATAGGAGTGGATGTCACCAGTGTCCAGCATTGCCGATTAGACCATCTACTTATACATTTAAAATTAGATGGTGATTAAATGGCACATAATTAGTATTCAATCCAATGCAATGATCTAAATTGCTTTCTATCTAATTAATAACAGGGATAATTGCAAGGGAATTTAATACTGACTGTAAAACAATACCTGTAGAAACTGCTGACATAAGGAAAAGATGAAGAACAATATCAAAATTTAGTCAACCTTATTCTGCTTCTGGTAGAACAAATGAAGATACTTACAGTCTGTCTAGGAATTGGTAAAAAGATCTTAATATTCATGTGTGCAGTTTAAGTCCTTCTCCTTGGGGAGACTTTTGTTTCATTATTGAACGGGTGCTGGACAGTTATTGTTAGAATAATAATTTTCAGTTTCATTTGAACAAGATTTACATATTCATGATCCTTTTCTGGATATGTTAATGTAACTTGAACTTTAGAGAAATCTGGACTTCCTTTGGATTTCTGGCATTAACCTTGTTATATACAAAAACTCTTATAGCGAATATTTTGAGCTCACTGTTACAGATTTAAGCATTGGCATATTTTTGTGTATAGAAGTAATTCCACTGAAGTTACTGTAGAATTTGAGCAATGCATAGATGTTTCTTCTGTAAAATTAAGAATTTTATTAAGATAAATGTTTACACGTTATAGTCAGATGAATAACCTTCTAATCAGATGAATAGCCTTCTAATTTTCAATTAAGTTGTAGTGAAATATTAAGGTAAATGTATTCCTTTTCCTACTTTATAAAACTGTGATGACTTCCTCTGTATGGAAGCTCATTTTTGCATGTTTTTAATGTCGTCTTTTGACTGTATTGGAATTTTTTCTCCCCTAAATTCCCCAAGCTTGGTGTCAACTGTTCATCTCCAGGTTAATAAAGACCTGGTCCCTGAGGACATTTGCATTTTTGCCACCATCTTAGTCATAGCCATGTTGAGGTGACTTGGTGCCAGACACTGTATGTGTGAGTGGTACGTGCCTCCTCTTTCTGGATTCCTGTTCATGAGGGACACTAAGCATTCTGCAATTCAAGGAGAAGAGAACGCTATGGTTTTACTTTATTCTGTAGCTAACTTTATATTTAGCAGTGGAGTCCCTCAGCCATGTCTTCGCATCAGCCAGCAGTTCAGAACTGATCTAGTTCTCCACATGTGGAAGTCAGCGGGTTGTTGCAGAGAGATGGTATGTCTGAGAAAACCGAGGGGAGGACGGGTGCAGCAAAGGCTTTTGATACAGCCTGGAAAGGTCGGGCAGCGCTTGTTCTGTAGAAGATCCCAGTGTTGTCTGTAATAAGGCAGGGCAATTACATAATTGCCAGTTCTTATAGTGATGGTAATCATGCTTGGTTCATGTGTTCACTTTCTTCTGGTGTTAATCAAAGAAGCTGAATAAATAGCCGAGATCTCATAAAATTAGGTCTGTAAGCCTGTTATCATCTCTGTGTGACTCTTGTGCAACATGGTCCAGCAGCAATTATTTCTATGGCAACAAATAATGATGTTATACTAATTTTATGGTGTTGTAAGTCATTTGATTCCTGTGAAGTTATGACAACATAAAATTGCTTTTAGTAGGTGAAGATTCAAACCAGTGATTTCACAGCAGTCTCTTTGAAGGCTAAGCACTGGAGAAAGGCATAATTCTAAAAGGCATAACTGCAGCAACAGCAAAGGGGAGCTGGAAAAGTCCTGAGAAGCAAACTGACTTTTTGTCTAATGTTCCCTTTTTGGGGTTTCCTCTTGTTAGCCAAGACGCCAAACTGTTTTGCAGATGTTATACAACTAGAACTGAAATTTTCTATGTTATTCTTAGTTTAGTTATAATTTCCTCTTTAGTATTTATTGTTCATTGAAATATTTTAATTGTAGTGGTACCAGTGCTGTAAAGTAATTAAACAGATGGCTATAACACACTGATTTTAATGGGAGATAAGCACAGGACTGATATTTATTGAGAGATCTCTGAGAGCTTTGCTGAACTGGGGGTAATGTGATATTAAACTCAAGGAGTCCTGGAATGGAGAATTTTTCCTTCCAGTTGCTGGTAGTTGGAATCACTTCACTTTTACAGCTCTGTTTCCTTCCTTTTTGTTTTGATTTCTAGTGTTCATTATTTCTGGTTTTTATTTTGAAATCAGTTGAGGAAAGATTTATTTTTTTTTTTCCTCGTAAAATTTTAATTCAACAACTAATCCATAAAGGTTCTTTTCGTATTTCTGAACTTCTGCTTTTTAGTTCCTGCCTTATTTGTTCTTCATGGGTTTTAGTACCTCATGAAGAAATAGAGAATCTCCCCTGTCATTTGTGTGTATTCATACAAAAATCATCGTCATAATGGTATAACCTCCCTATGAAAAAAGTAGGATGTAGTAAAAATACTGTGTAAAGGTTGAATCAGAGTAAAAAAAAATGTTTTCTCATAAGAAGGCAAACTTTCTGAATATGCATGATAATATTTTTAAATTTGCCTGATAACTGGTTTAAATCTACATCTCAGACTCCACAGTGGGAACAGTCCCCATGCCTCTCATCAGCTTCCAGTTACAAAAGAGTGTCATAAAAGATTTTATAAAATAGAAAACAGTTTATTTTTATTTTATGGCTGGGGATGTGGTCGTTTGTAGCTGGCAGTATAAAAAGGTTTTACTGAAGAGAACAGATTGTGTTTCTCCACCAACTCTCCCAAGCATATCATGTTGGAAACTTTAGCTTGAACTGCACATGCAGGAGAATACAAACTGACACCATGCTTCTGGTGAGTATGTAGACAGTAATTAGAGTCTCTTGTGCTTTTGGTTCATCTCTTTCAGCCAAGAGCACAAAGTCCAGAAGCAGACTGAGACTGACCCTTGTTTAGATGTGTGGGTAGAGGGGGGGAAGAGCCTTCTCTTTCCAAAAGCTCCATGGCTGCTATCCAAGGTCAGGTCACAATTGTAAACCTTGTTCTTTCTTGAGAAGTGCAGGCCACCCGAGAGGACAGATCTACACAGCTGCAACAAGAGAAGCCTAATATATCATCATGAGTGGCAAGCATGCTCTGCTTCATGATGCAATGTAGGGAGGGATCTCTGCTGTTCTGGCTCTCGTGTTTGTATTTCCCATGCCCACGACATTGTTACTGCTCACTGTCACCTGGTGGTTTCCTCAGGGGTGTCTTCTCCTGGCTAGGCGTGGTTCTTCCTTTGCAGGTTAACAAGCTCTGGAGGAAGCTCAGCTGGAGGTGCTTCACTAGGTGTCTGCTAGGGGTGGGACCACAGAGATGAACTGTCAAGTGACTGATTTCTCTTGCTGAGCTGCTGCAGCTAGTTTGGGTTCCAGAAACATTGATCAGTGCTGCCTTATCCTGCTTGAAGACACTGGTCTGCAGTCAGAAACCACTAACTGATAGAGAGGATGGTTCAGTCTCTTAAACATTTCTTCAGCTCCTAATGGCTCCTGTCCAGCTCACTGTGAGAGCAGGAGGGCAAATAGACCAGCTGAGAGACACAAAGCCTTTGTCTATAGTCTGTTAAATTAGATATTGCCAGAACATGTTTTTGAGCATTGGCTAGTGACCTTTGCTGTCTCAAGCTTGTCATTCCTCTTGGCAGTGTTGGGCTGGGCCAGCTCCCTCAGGACATTGTTCAGGGGATAGCATGGATCAGAGCCACTTCCAGGAGGGAGTTCAGGTGCACACTGTTTTAATGGGATTTATAGAATCATAAAATTAAGGTTGGAAGGGACCTTCAGAGCTCATCTAGTCCAACAGTCTGCTCAAAACAGGTCTGATCGGTGCAGATTGCTCAGGTCCATGTTAAGTTGAGTCTTGAACACTTCCAAGGATGAAAATCCCACAACCTCTCTGGACAACCCATGACAGTATTAATTTAACCACCTTCATTGTAACTTTTTTTTTTCCTAACATCTAATCAGAATTTCCCCTGTTTCTATTTGTGTCTGTTGCCTCTTGTCTTATCACTGTGCACCTCTGAGAAGAGTCTGGTTACATCTCTTTGCCTCTGGTCAGATAGTTTAGACAGCAATAAGGTTGCCAAGCAGAGCAAACCCACTTCTTTCAACCTTTCTTTGTATATCCTGTTGTCCAGCCCCTGAACAGCCCCTTTGTGACCTTCCACTGGACCTGCTCCAGTACATCAGTCTTTCTTGTACTGGGGAGACCAAAACTGGACACAGTACTCCAGAGGCAGGTGTAAAAACACTCAATAGAGGGGAAGGAGCGCTTCCCTGGACCTGCAGCTGAACCTGCTGGCTGTTCTCCCACAGCCAGGCTGTGGTTGTTGCTGCCTCTGCTGCAGGGGCATGCTGATGGCTCACATTCAACCTGTTGTCCCCTAGGAGCCCCCAGTTCTTTTCCACAAAGCCACAGAAATGAAGTTATGTATGTTGATATGAGCTGTGTCACATCTTTTTCTCTAAGGACTTGTTTAATTTACAAGCAAAGGCATAGTCAAAGGGACAGAGATACACAAGGAAAATAGTCTTTTCTTACAGATATTGATCTTAATATCATGCTGAAAATACTGGAGGAGGAATATGACTGATTACCAAAATATATGCAAGAAATATATGCTTTAAACTATGGAGAATTAATAGTAAAATAATTTCAGTCTGTCAGCTTGTAGATGGCACTGGTAGTTCCACAAGGAAGAAAGGAAATGCCAAGTCAGTATTACTGTGTGTTAACACAGAATTAGCCAATTTTGATTAGATAAATGCTGTGTGTTCTGAGCAATGTTTCAAACACACCGCTACATTTCTTCTCATTTTCTGTGTTAGATTTAATTTAAAATAACTTCTGTTGGTGCAAAATCTTTTGCAAGCTATACCTCAAATTAAGACACTGAGATAGTGTTTACTAATATTTCTCTGATGGTCATAGTGGTTTATCTTGAGAGCAGGAAACATTTGGTTTTGAATTTTTCATCAGAAAAAGGTGAAAAAAAAAGGTGGGGGAAAAAAAAGGTGAGGCAGTCATGGGTCTCAGGCTGCAGTGTTTGGTGTGGTGTTTTTTTTTTATTATTATTTTTTTTTTTTTAAAGGCTGTACATGAAAGTCTTTCAAGCCTGGGCTCACTACCCTCAGTTAAGGTTTTGCCAGCATCTAGTCCTACTTGAAAAACCACCTCTCTGCAAGTACCCCAAACGAATTCCAGGCTACCAAAAGCTAAAGAGTTTATAGTGAGGTCAGCAGCAGTACTGACTTCAGCAGACTTGAGATTTTACAGGGATTTAGGTGGTGCCTACATTCTGTGATGCCATTTGTATTCTGGCAAATAAAATCCCCTATAAAAAATTCTGTCGTAGCTACACTGTTTCTCCATAACTGTTTTTCATGCCATTAGCAAAATACATCCTGACTTAAGTTAACCTTCCAAAATAATATACAACTTGATTCTAAACTGCCTTACATCTGAGGTCACACATCAAAATCTGTCCCATCCTGCTCTTGGACATGCAGCACGCGAAGGAGATTCAGTGGCTCTGTACAGAGCCATTCCTATCCTGGATATGACTGCAACAGAGAGAAAGTGCTGTTGTGCTGTGTAATCCCCCCAGTCATTCTGGACGTGGTTCAGCAAAGAGGAGACTTCAATAAATGCGAGGCTAAATAACATCTTCAAGGGTTGAGTGCTCTGAATACAACTCTGTGAATTCTCACAGTGCTCTATTTTCTTCTACATTACACAGACCAAAAATAATGGGGGAAAGAGCCAGAAGAAATACATTCCCAGCCTTCCTGCCAATTTCCTGGTACTTACTTATCTCCTCTGCTCACTACTCAGAAGTTTAAAATGAGAATCAGATCTATTCTGGCCATCAGAGGGTCTGAGTAACATCATCTTCAAACCCTGTTGGAAGAACAAACAAATATCTTTGGTCTTTCACCTGCATGAGAGAACAGGTGTTGCCATACTCTTTCTTGAACCAAACCTCTCTTTGACTTCATTTATAAATGGCAAATTTCACATCTAACAAATACAGTAGGAGGTGATTTTTTGTGGCCAAGCAATACAGACAGAGTGCCAAGAGAAATGAATCCTAGGAGAATGGACAGGAGATGATTCTTGAGCAGCCAAGAGTAAGACTACTACTCAGAAGAAAGAGTAAAAGATATTCAAAGAAAATGTAATTATGAGCATACTGTTAGTTCCACTCTTTGACTGAAATGAGAGAAGGGAGTGACAGACAGCATTATTTTTCTTCAGAAGTTTGTGTGAATCCACACTAGATCCTAGAAGTCAGTGGAAAGCTCTACATTTCCCTCCTCCTACTTAAATTAAGCCCTTAAGACACACACAGTTTTCATCCTGCTTTAGAACTGATCAAAAATAAATGCATTTTCTAAATCTTTGCTTTAAAAAGTGAAATATACTGTAACTATCAAGGCATCCATCTTCTTGAAGGTCTTAGTGTTTGTTACAAAGGGACTTCCATGCTACTATAAAACTGTGAACAGTTATTGTTGAATTTTTCAAAACCTTGTTCAGAACTAAATGCTTCTTCCAGAGGATGTGAGAAACTCTCTTATAATTTTTAATACATTTCAAAATTCCTTATGCCATTTTGTTTCCTCTAGAAATATGAATCTTGAAGACTGAACACACTTTCCTTTGCAAAATTATTGAATTGAGCTAGGCTTGCAATCTTTTCTATGTTTATGTCTTAAACTACTGTGACAGAGAAACTACTAGTATCTTTATTTCAGTATCACTTAGCTGTTATATTTGCTTTTGTTCTTACTGTGACAGGGCAGCTGCTTTGGTCCTTGAAGCTTCAGGACATCGGGCTACACTGTGAAATATGAAAGTAATACCTTATCAAAACTAGATACCATAATATGAGTTGACTATGTGGCTTATTTTATCATTGAAACACCCTTCTGGTGGAATTTTAAAAAATCCTTTCCAGGTACATGGCAGATAATATTCCCCAACTGGTTTTTTAATGCCATTTGAGATCATGTTTGGATCATAGTTTCCAAATTATGTAAAACATAAAACTAGTAGTTCATGCAATATTCATTACTAAAACAGCGTCAGAAATAAAGTTTCAGAAAAAAAGTACAAAACAAAAAAGATATGATTTTTTTTCTCCTGAAGCTCTATGAGATACTGAGGCCTAGAATGTTATTTACTGTGTCTGTCAGCATAAATGCTTTCAAACCCTCTTTCCTTCTGCTCTCACCTCCATATTCTGGTCTTGAGCTACAGATAAGATCACATTTCTCCTTTTTAGGCTGTGTGGTAATTAAAGAATTGACTTATCACCAGGCTGTTCAGAAACCTATTCTTTATAGCATGTGGATACAAAATGTGCATGTTGATTAATTTGCGAGAATACTTTACTAACAGTGTATTTTCTTCTACATCTGGTCAGGCTTTTTTTTTTTTTTTTTTTTTTATGATTTGCTTGCTTTCCTGTTTCCAAGTTATCTTTACTTTTTGGCTCTCATTCCTGGAACCTCTGAAGCACGTTCGTGATGTAAAGCACATGAGCATTGCTGCTGGTTCCCGAATCAGGACCTCGGTGATAGTCCGTACACGTGTACAGTATTGCTGGGCAGAGAGAGAGATTCTCAATTGCCATCTTTCAGCACTTAATCAGTGGGACTGTGAATAGTTGCAACCAGTGAGAGCAGCTGTGGAAGTGCGACCCATCTTCTGGTAAAGGAGTTTGACAGCAAAGAGCCTCATTTACCTCACTACAGCAGTGTTATTAGTGAAATTTACTCAGAGGTGAAAATTGCCAGTACAAAGAGTTTTGCATTTTCTTCCTTCAAAAGTATTATAAGGCTGGTTGGATTTTTTAAAAATATCAACTATGCTATGGATCCTTTTCAGAAATAAACCCTCCCCAGGGCAAATATGGGGATTTTGTTATAAGAAACCACTACCACCAGTTATTAATTAAAAAAAAAAAAAAAAAAAAAAAAAAGAAAAAGAGGAAGAAAAAAGGTCTTCCAGATGAAATAGACCAGATTTGTGAATTACATATAAAAAGTTGATAAAACTGTATATATTTCTCTTTTATAGGGCCTTCCTGGCAAAGATGGACCCACAGGCCCACAAGGACCCCCTGGCCCAATGGTGAGTATTACCCATGGAATTAATTACTGTAAAAATCAGCAGGATTTGGGGGGTTTGTAGATCACTGTTATCTGGGCTTCAGTGGATAGACCAAGGCCAAGGGTTCTCCTTGGAAGTTGAAGTTCTCATGACGCATAGGGTTGGCAGAGAGCTGCTTGTCCAGTGTAAATTCTTTCCATTCTTACTTAACTCAAGAAAAAGTCTCCCTTGGGAAGGGGAGACTGTTGTTGCATCAATAGATTGATAGTTTGTTCTGAGTTAGGTAACTGCACTATATAAAGGGAAATAGTGCTCTTAACATTTGAAACAAGAGCTTCCTTTTGTAAGAAATTCAAATTAGCTTTGTCAGTTGAAGTGAATTGCCGAGTTTTGCTTGGTCTGGAGGCTGGAGGTGAGTGCAGGTATTCAGATGCTCTCACAGAGTAATAAAGACAGACAGCAGAGGCCACATTCAGCCTTCAAAGACAGGTTGCCTCCAGAATCTGTCTCATCCTTCTCAGCTAGGGCAGTTAGACAAGGTTAATGCCGTCTTGATAGATGTAAGAAGTTAGGTGAAACTGCTGATGGCATTGAGTATTTTCAAATCCTATTCTTTTTACAAAGAATTTTTTGAGTCATGACCTCTGAACCATGGCCCATGGTAGTAACACCACAGGATTTAGTGTTTTTTGCCTCTTCCAGAGAGCAAGCAACACAACTCAATTTTTCTCAAGTGCTTTTCTCAGAGCTCTGCTTTCTGTGCTCTTTTTCCTGCAATGTGTATTTCTTAGACCGCTCTCCCAGCATCTCTGGTCTTTGACTGGCAGAACTCCCTGCTTTGTGCACTTCCTCTCCATCACAGTTATCTCTCTCATCAGGATGCATGGATGTTGATTGTCGTCACCACTAACTATTTTCTTTTTTTCCATGTAGGGCATACCTGGTGCTCCAGGTGTTCCAGGTGTTACTGGAAGCCAGGGCCCACAAGGTGATGTTGGAGCTCCTGTGAGTAAAATTAATTAATATTGCTATATTTGCTGTTGTGCGCTAATTGGTTTCTGATCCTGGCTTCACTGTTTTACAGAACTCCTCAATATTTATAGCTTGTGATCTGTTTGCAGTTAGTGCTTAAGCGAAACATCGTATTGGTCTTTCTTTGTTCCTTCTTGGTAATTACATTTATTTGTTGATCTTACACACAATGTTTGGAATACAGGGATTAGAAAGTCAAAACGCAAGATTAAAACGTATAAGTTAAAAACAGCAGTATGTGAATTTGTAGTCTGTGTGTAATTACTTTCTCTTTTTTTTCCTTTGCAATTCAAGCAACTCTCAGGAAAGTAAAATATGTCATTTATTAAACTGAATATTTGCAAAATATTATTCTGGTTTTCAAACTGTCAAAATATTGCATTAATAAAAAACTGGCTTTCGTGGTTATTCTAGGTTTACAACGGGCAACTAAAGATCAGGGCTCTTTCTATAATGTTGTTATAAATTTGACCATCAGTTCCATTGAGTGGAAAATTACATCCTCTATACTGCAGATAAGTGTTAGGAACCTCTAATACTAAGTTTGCCTTTCAGACACTATTTTCTTTATTATAAAAAACACAATTTCATTAGAAGAAAGGAATACGACCATAAAATGAGTGTGTAAATAATGTCGAAGAGATTTACAGTGGACCTCTTTTTCTTTGTAACGGCTCAGATAATTTTGTGTATTCACATTTTAACTTGTGACCACTTGGTTAATTATAAAGCCTGCTCAATTTTTTTCCATTGAATATTCTATTTAATTTTTAAAAGCATCAGAATAGGACATCTGACTTGATTTGTAGAATAGATTTTTTTTTTTTTTTCAAGGTTCAGTTTGCTTTGGAGATTTAGTCCAATGCAAACATTTTTATTTGGTTAAGTGGAAATGAAATTACTGATAATACATAAGCAAAGATAATAACCTAATGCCCAGTTCTGCATAGTTTCTAAGTGTAATCATGAAACATACTAAGGAGATTTGATGAGCTATGGAAGTTATTAAAATCAATGTGTAACATGCTGACTATTCAGTTCCTGTCCAAACACATGTTCCAGTTATTGAACTAAATTTCCTAGAGTATAGATATTAGACTATAGTAGTTATGAAAGAAAACAGGTAGGTGGGTGAAAAAGTTTTGAGTTTCAGTAACTGTCTTTCCCAAAAGGTAGAGTAATAGCAAAGAGGCCTAGAAATAATCTTGCAGTCATTGTAGGAGTTTCTTCTTTCCCAGAATAGAATAAGCTGTGCTTTTAACTGTGCATCAGACAGATGGCTACCTCTTCAGGCAGACCTTTCTTCGCTTCGGGAGTTTGTTTAGCATACCCCAAAAACCTCTATTGTTAAAGTTCTAACTGCCCCAGACAACTTGTTCCAATCCATAATGATCATTACCGTCATCACAGTATTACAGTATATTTAATTTCAAATTTTCTGTGCCAATTAATTGCATTGCTGACTCTGTTTGTAGTAAATGCAGAGTCTTGGTGTACCAAATGCTACAAACTTCAGGCTGATACTTTGTCTCCCATCAGCCTTCTCTCCCTTATACTTAGTGATGATTAGACCCATTACAGCCACGTGAAATGCATCAGCTGGTGGCATGCCCTCGCTGACATATTTTAAACAAGAGAATTCAGTATGTGACAAACCCCCAAGAAAGTCGTTGTCACCATGGAATTGCCAACGGTGAACGTTTTGCTGAGTAGTGAAATGGAAAAGTATACTGCCACATAGCCTCCTTAAACCTTGTTCCTTGTATATTTTTTCTCCTTTTACTGTGATGCTGCAAGGGAGACAATGTTTAGGCATTAAAAATTTTGAGCAAGAACAAACTGAGAATTAATTCTGTATTGAATCTTTTCATAGGGTCCTCCTGGAGCTAAGGGTGAAAGGGGTGAGCGGGTAAGTCTCTGTTCACCTTAGCCACCACTTTTTTTTTCCTATCTGACCTTTCTATCTCATAAAAAGCTTCGTCCAACAATTTATGTTTCTCTGTGTTTATAGCCACAGTTTTCTCTGGGCAATCAAGCAAACTTTCCCTCTTTTCCAGGCATTGTCTTGTATGTGGCTACATTAATGTTTTGAAGGCGAGAAGTATGAGCCATTAAGAATATCGCCAAGTCTCTCACTAGGGTTATCTTCTCTGACCTCTGTTTCATGGCTAAAAACAGTAATGGGAACCAGGGAAATCCCCAAGCTTCTTTGGCTTTTTTTCATCTGTGAGGATATAATCTCTCAGGGATAATAAATGTCTTTCATCACTCTAAGCGTTTTCAAGGCAGAATCATAGAATGGTTTGGGTTGGAAGGGACCTTAAAGCTAGTTCCCCCCCCCCTGCCATGGGCAGGGACACCCTCCACTAGCCCAGGTTGCTCAAAGCCTCATCCAGCCTGGCCTTGAACACCTCCAGGGATGGGGCATCCACAGCTTCCCTGGGCAACCTGGGCCACTGCTTCACCACCCTCAAAAGGAAAAAATTTCTTCCTAATATCTCACCTAAATCTGCCCTCTTTCACCTTCAAACCATTACCCCTCATCCTATCACTACACTCCCTGATCAAGAGTCCCTCCCCATCTCTCCTGTAGCCCCCTTCAGGTACTGGAAGGCTGCTCTAAGGTCTCCCCGGAGCCTTCTCTTCTCCAGGCTGAA